TTCCTGCAAGTCACAAAATTCCTCAATAGTCAGTTGATGTCCTGAAATATGCTACAGCTGCATATCCATGTTCTGAGGCATCACAGAAAATGTGTAGCAGCGTATCAAGAGCATCATCCAACCTTAACCATCTGTGAGCTCTAATCTGAGACAAACATGACACATGCCGGAGCCATTCTGACCAACTTTTGGACTCTTCATCCGTCAAGGGTTCATCCCAACCTGCGCCACGTTTACAAACTCGTTGTAAAAGGGACCTAGCAACTAATACTAGTGGGGCTGCAAATCCCAGCGGATCATAAATGGAACTGGTAGATGAGAGTAAACCTCTTCGGCTTGTCCTTATTATCTCGAAAGTGAATTGATCATCTTCAGCATTCCAGGATACACCTAAGGTTCTCTATGTTGGCAGTTCATCTAAAGTGATAGGTACAAATGGGGCTCGTTCTAGTTCGGGTGAGACGAAATCCACCTTTGCCCAAAATCTCAACAAGTCTATTAAACTGAATAGCTGACTCTGAATCTTCAACTGAACCTAGACAATCATCTACGTAAAAGCTAGACTTAATCATTTCTACGGCTCTCTTACCAATATCATCGATCTTACCTTTCTCGTAATCGATAGCAGTCTGCTTAAGTGCCTTACCTGCACAGGATGGGGACGAAGTAGCCCCGAATAGATGAACACACATACGGTACTCCTTTGGGGTCTTACTAATGTCACCTCCTTCCCACCAGAGAAAACGTAAGACGTCTCTGTTGGACTCAAAAATCCGCACCTGGTGGAACATCTCCTCAATGTCACCTACAATGGCTACCCGACACTGACGAAATCTTAGAAGCTAACAAATCGTTCATCAAATCCGGTCCTTTCAACAACATATCGTTCAGGGAAATACCTTGAAATTTTGCAGCACAGTCATATACTACCCTTACCTTCTCTTTATGGGGATGGATGACTGGGTGGTGTGAAAGATACCAAGCATTACCTAGTGTTAATTCTGAACTTGGCACTGGTTCAGCATATCTTTTCTCTATGTAGCCCTCGATAACGTCAGAGTATTTTCTACGAGTTTCCTCGTTTGCTGCAAGTTTTCGTTTAAGTGATGCCAATCGAGACTCGGCCATGTATACATTCTCCATTCTGTCTGAAAAAAAAGTATACAATGAGTAGTACAAATCATATTAATGTACAATCTATATTTTGTGTATGGTGCATAACCACAGGGGTTATGTAAAACATGGGGGTCTGTGAAATCTAGTTTAGGTCAAATTTGGCTGACACTTTGATCGTATAGTGACACACAGTACCAAACTATTTATGCCATGATGAGTAACACGCTATTTTAAGGATAACAGATTAAACATACAGAACTTATTAAAGATGCTAATGTCGATGACGTCATTGTCCCTGTGAAGTGTATGTAAAATCCAGGGTATGTAAAAACAAGTTACGATTTTAGGCAGGTTTTTGCTGGTGAAGTCCTTTGAGGAAATCTGACACCTGCACGAATGCCAAGGCAGTACTGTATATAACATAGCGTACTTTAAGTGAACTCAGTATAACAATGTTTTGTTATAATCTTTATTTAAAACATACCTCTTTCTGGTTTCTGAGAACCTTTCCAGTATCTGCTTCTGAGTTCTACTCCGTTCAGTCTCCTTTGTTCATCTTCATTATTCTCACTGTCGACTTCCATTTCGATGAGTTGTTCCAATAATTCTCTTATCTCCCTCTGCAACTCGGTCTCCTTGGGGCTAATGCCAGATGCTACCTTTTCGTATTCGTTTCTTAAGTTTTTTCTTAAGGTTACGGTATTTTTGCCTTGCATTTCACAGCAAAATTAGGCTTTTCAGCCACCTCCTCCTGTAAAGCACTACACACGTTCTTTAGAAATTTGATAGCGCTCTCACACAGGCATCTGATCGAGAGCGTGCGGAACGGACATATACCGTACGTTTCGTTCTTAAGATGCATTACATCAATAAGAACGTAACAGGCATCAGATACATATCGCCTGAACAGTTGTGTAAGTAATGTATAATTAAATGTTATATTGTTAATATATGTAGACAACATGAACGATATGGTATTATATGTATGTATATAATATAGGCAATATTAACAATAAGATATACGCGGCGCTGGCGGGAACCGCCATAGCCGAGGTGGTCTGTGCTGTAAAATTTATCTTCTTTTTTTACTATTAGGCCTAGTTATCATTGTATCTTCCATCTTACCTGAAGGTTACTTCTCTGGATTTCAGGTATATAAAGCTGAGAATTGTACTTGATTCTACTAAGAAGCCATTTTTCGGAACTTTTTGCAGAGAAAAAAGTTTTCTAGTCCGCCTGTTGCTATGAACGAACAAGACTAGTTACACATGTGCGATACACATCCCATGGAATTCCGTTTCGGTCCCAGGGGGCAGTGTAGAACTTGCGTATTGAATCGACTATTTTTAGGATATTTTTTTAAATTATTTATTCATATCATATCATAGCATAAAACATACAAGTACATTACAAAGCAAATTTTAAAAAAAAGAAAAATTACATTTCTAAAGGCATATTTCATTTTCACAATTTCTCAATGAGCTAGCAAAAAATAATAATCACAATGTTTAACAAAAGAAAAGAAAAGGATAAAAAAAATACCATTCCCTGTATAATTTTTTAGGTATAATTATATTTTTGTAATTTTTTAATCATCATAATTTAATATATTTCCATTTCTCCTCAAACTTTTCCAATATATTTTTTCTACAAGCAATGCCCTTTTCCATTATATAAATCTTTGATGGTAGTATTCCCAGGTATCTACATTTATAAATGCTTTGTTTTGCCCAAATTGAGCAATTTTGCAACAAATTATAAATAGTATTATTCAATCCAAATATTAAATCTTCCTTTTTTGGAATTGTTTTTATTTTTTGGCTTTCTATTTTGTGTTTACTGTCCCACCATAAGATAAATTCGTGCCAGAAATTATTTATACAAGTACAATTTACAAATAAGTGTTCAGTTGTTTCCTTTTCTTTTTTACAGATAGTAAGTCATGACATTGACCGAAAATAAGACAGAACAAAATATATATAAAATAAACTGGTTTAATTAAATAAAAGTTCGTTCGTAAATCCAATGACAAAGTGTTGTGCTACCTCCATGATTCTTTATCACTGTAACAATGAATTCGAAGTACAATTCATCTACTAAGTCTTTCTAACTGCTAGGGCTTTTCCCCTCAGTCTGCAATATCACTTTAGTATATTTGGTACAAGTCTTGAGTATACTGTAGGCTACTTGGCTCTACCTCCTCCGACAATCTCTAAATGAATACAACATTTATATAGAATGGTATGCTAATGGTATTACTTTACTATCAATATTCGCTTTAACGTATTATACATAGCATATATTTATATATATGTTGAAGGTAGTATTCATATAACATATCAAAATACATGCACAATTAGTACTACTACCCTATATATGCCAATAGGTAGATATTCTGATTTATCAACTATTAACAGTACTCACGGTCAAGTCTTTACTTCATTTGTTTATTCAAAAATACTGTGAAGCTTTCTTACTTCAGCTATCACTCACGTATAATTAATTTAAGCTTTAACACAAGCCTTGTACTTTTATCTTAAAATGTGCCTCGACTGATATGTCCTTTAACCACCACTCCTCAGTCCACATCTTTCCTTTAAGATATTTTATCTTCAACTCCTGGCTAGATACCTTTTAACTAACCCTTTATAACACATTTGCATACTTTTACACTTCACTTAAATGCACAAATCATATACACTGCCACTTTGCCTTAACCTCACTAATATTCATAACTTTTTTACCATTCACAGACCGTTTTACCTTGATTGATACAACCTATGAATATTCATTAGTTTTCGATTCAGAATGCTGCAAAGTAGAATGAAATATCCTAAATATTGTGACGAAGTACATAGTTCATTTTCTTCTAACTTCATTTGTGTTAATTTTTAGTTTTGTGATCAGAACGTTCATATTTATCTTATACTGAAAAAACTCTACTTTTTATATCATGCTGTATCATAAATGGTAGTTGATATATTCGCTCCCAGTCATCTTGATTGAAATTATATTTTGAATTCCAAAAAATCTCAGAAGTAGGTTTAACATGTTTATTATTCCTAAAAAACTGTAAGTTTGTTTTTAAATGGAATAACCTGATTAAAATTAAAGCATAAGTTCATTTTTTGTTTTGTGTGCTGCGTTTTCATATTTTGTAGAGCATCCATTTTTAATTGATTTGGAATTGCTGATATTAGATAACACCAATTTAGGTTTAGAGGTTTTTTGACCCCTTTTTTTTATCCATACATCAAAATTATGCAATTGCCCTTCTTCATTGTATAAATCTTGGATATACACCATACCACATTTATAAAAAGATCTAATAAAAACAGTTTTACTGTTAATTTTAATATCCTGGTTGTTGCAAATAATGAACCTACTTATACAATCCTTCATGAGTAAATTTATCCACTTCACTAAAATAATATTTCTGTATAAAAAAGAGGAATTTTATTGTTTGGATGAAGATCTTTCGATTTATAATTACAAAACAAAATCAGATTCCCATATATTTTGTGTAATATTTAAAAAATTCTTTCCATCTTGACTTTTCTTCATTTAAAAGTCTTTGTATCCACTTAAGTCTTAAAGTTTTAAACATAGATTCAACATCAACCATAATTAAACCTCCCTTCTCGATTGGCCCAATAAGAGTGGATCTTTATATATAACCTTTTATTGCATTCCAAATAAAATTAAATAATATGTCTTCAGTTTGTTTAATTAAACTAGTAGGGACCGTTAAAATTGAGGCCACATAAATTAATTTTGAAAGTGCAGAACTTTTTATAATTTGGATCTTTCTAAGTAGTGTCAGATTTCGTGTTTTCCATACATTTGAACATTTCTGCAGATCCCCCAGTTTTTTTTTTCAAAATTTAAATTTCACACAGCTGAGAGTTATATGAAAAATAAAAGCCATGAGCTTTAATGGGAGAATTTGCTATTTCTACTCTTGGTAATGTATCTTTTGAATTTCTCAAAGAACTAAGCCACATCGCTGTAGTTTTATCATAGTTCAATTTTAACCCTGAAAAGGTGGAGAAAATGGTAATAAGTGATAAGGCATTTTCCAAGGATTTGCTATCAGCCAAAACCAGTGTAGTATCATCAGCGTATTGAATAATTATGTTATTTTAATTCACCTCAATGCCTTTTATTTCTTTATCGTCTCTAATGGCACAGGCTAGGAATTCAGCCGCTACGATAAATAAATAGGGGGACAATGTATCTCCCTGCCGGACTCCCCAATTAACTTGAAATACCCTGAGGTGAGACTGTTTTTAGGATGTATTTATAAACGACTCATCTGTGTTTGGACATCACATGTTTCCCGATATTTTATACTACAGTATTACGATAAGCCTCAACAAAATATACAAATACACATTTGTAATTTGTTTAAAAAGCAATGACCGATATGAGACGGCTGCGAACAATTCCACTCCAAATCAATTTAACTAGTACGTATACCTGTTTTATAAACTGTAAATCATTGTGTATAACTACAGTACTACATATATTTTTTAAACGTTAAACTTTGTACAAGTTATTTGTTATAATTTTTTTATTATAATTATAAAGCTATAGCAAGTTTAATATTTTTGATTTAACAAAAATAAGTATCTTAAACACTTCCTTTATATTTATATGTTTGAGTTTTTAAAATTTTTCATGCGATGTAATATCCCAATGTAATTTCCTTTCAGACAATAAAGTTATGTTGTATCTTGTATCTTGTATCTAAAACACATTTTTATGTAATATTATTTAAGTTCAAGTTTATAATTCCTATAGCGTTAGCTTTGGTATGGATTGAGCAACAGACTGAAATAAACTGAAGTAAATTTTACAGAAGAGAATAAAGGAGATTTAAAGTTTTAGTAAATATGAGTACTTTAAAATAAAAATGACAATTATGAGGCTTTAATTAATTCAGGGAAATCATTAAATAATATCAGAATATTCAAATGCAGGTTTAAACCAATTCAAAACAAGATATATTTTAAATGAAACAATCTAAAGAAAACCACCTAATTGTCTATTGACAAACTGCTAAAAATACATAATTATCAAAAATCAGAGGTTTATATGGTATAATAAAAAGCTAATTAAGTGAATTATGTAAGTTCATTAGTTGCCCTGAGACCAAAGTTTAAACCATGTTTCACTCGAAAATCCATTATCGATTGGCTCATCAAATTATTGTCAACTAGTCCAGTGTATTTTATTGTCTCTCGAAGAAGAAATTAGAATTGCTCGATAAAATTTTAAAACAATACAAATGTAAAATAACAATTAAAAAAATGTATCTTTTCACCAATAAACCAAAAATATTAAATGCAGCTATTAATATATAAATGCAATTGATCATAATTAAAATTGAAGTTAATTAGCAACAGTAACCCATCAAAATGAGAAAAAAAAACAAAAGAAAAGTAACAACAGTTAATCAAAATTTAAAAATTGCACAATCCACCAAAAAATACCATTAAAAATAATTACACTGCACTCTTATACACATCTAGATGTGTATAAGAGACAGAATAATATGTCTTCAGTTTGTTTAATTAAACTAGTAGGGACCGTTAAAATTGAGGCCACATAAATTAATTTTGGTGTAAAAAGCCAATCTTCAACAATGACGTAATCTAGAAAACCAAGAGGGGCGTCATCTAGGACTTGTAGAGCAGTACTAATACGATTCAAGATTGGTTTTCCCTGAAAAACAAAATATATATTTTTTTTCCAATAAAAAATATATTTTAAACGACGTGAAAAAGTAGCTACCATCAAATTCTAGTATGTTAAGAAGCGAGTCAATATTGATTTGGAGAAACTGGAGGTTAGTGATACCCAGGGAAATGGACTGTTACGCCCCTTCAATATTTGCTAATGCGCCACAAAACGATGTTAGTGTAAGCGCAAAACAACTTGCGTTTGACACACCACGAGTGGCCTTGTTCTATTTTTTTTAGTTCAGTTTGGCACTTCGTTAATGTCCATTGAGGGTGTACACAGGGAATTTTGGACTACTGTACATCAATACTTGTGCGTCTTATCTAGTTCTGAGTTTCATCACTACTATAAATTGAACTGACTATATGTCAGATTATATATACCTTGACGTTAAAAGATGTATTGAGTAGAATCTCGCTTCCACCTGTCCTCTTGCCAACCTCACACAATAGTGAGTGGTACCACGGGTCATCCTCTTTTGAAACAGTTTGATATCTAAAAATTAAAGAATAATTCTGTGTAGCCTTGTTTCTGCCTGTGATAAAACCTATAGTCATAGGTATAGAATTACAGTACTTTATACTCATCCGAAGGTCTTTACCAATCTGGTATTATATTTATTCCATACTCAAAATTCTAATTATTTATTTTATATATATATATGTTTATATTTATACCATATTTTTACAGCATTTACATTTATTCCATACTCTAATTCTGAACAAGATTAGTGATTTTTATAACCACTGTATGAACTGTGGACCATTATTATGCAGAGTATAGCGAAAATTATCTGAAGCAATAGTTATGCCGTTCATTTTTATAACAGCTTGAACTATTTGCACCTTGGACAATCCAGTACATTCTTCGAAACAGCAGAGGATGGACCGTTCCTGTAAGCAGCTGCTACGCACCATAGATACAGTGGCGTATCTTTCGGGTGTGCGGGAGAGGGGCGCATACCCTCCAAAAATACTCGCCTCCCTCCCCATTCGTACCCCATGGAAAATATTAAAAATAAAAAAATCTCGCCGCTCAAGTAGTTAGAAATCACCTCAAATCACCTTATTTTGCGAGCTAGCGCCCTTTCAACATAGAGCCCCGCTTTACTTCACCATTGCGCCCACCATCAGGCCACCTTCTCCTAGATACACCGCTGCATAGATAATGTTCCTAATGTCTCATGCAACAGGATAGACGTACGTACGTAAGCACCTGCATTTGTTGGATAATACGTGCATTTGTGAGACACGCATGTGTTCCTGGCCCTGTTTTGATTGGCCAGTTAAGTTTGATTGAAGCCGTTCGCCAAAAAGAATTATTTAAAACAGGTAGCAAACGGTGATAAAAATTAACTAAAACTAAATATATCACCAAGCTGCAACTTTATATTTAAAAAAGAAATTATTTTTGCCATGGACTACTTGCAACGCGAGTAATTGACTCACCTAGCTGTTCCATCATAATGAGTGATGGCAGGGAATTTTTTCTGTGACTCGTCATTTAAAAGCGGTGCAAAAGACATGTAAGGTGAATACGGTGTCCATTCTTTATAGCTTTCATCTTTATTCAGACGCAGCTTTGAAGAGATTGTCCAATCAGCGAGTGGATATACGTTGGCTTCCTCAGTGTTAGCAACGTCTGAATTTTGAAAAATTATTCAAAAAAAAAGAAGAAAAAACGAATGGCCAGCAAACTATGCTATAGAAATACAGTATACAACTTTCAATAGCCAATCTTGTGTAAAGCTAATGAAAGCCAGAGGACTGGTCGAAAATACAGTTTTCTATAGTCTACATACCTTTGTCGTTTCAACGACTGATATATAATTTGAAAAACACACGTGGATTTACAATGATATAGAAATACAGGATGTATACATACACACTACATAGTGTTTTATAAACTAAGTTCTATTTTTTAATTTAAAAAGGATAGTTGATCAATAATCCATAAATTTCAGTCAACTTGAAGATTATGTGGATAATTTAAATTTCTGTCTGAAATTTACAAAAGCCTTCCAAAGGAAACTTATTTTGCTATTACAAGTGGCGCTCGTTATAATTTTAAAGCTTAAAAAATAAATTTTAAGTTAAAAACAAAGGTTTCTTATCTATGCCTTATAACAACCAAAACGACCCAACATCGAATGTTATAAACAAACAACTGAAAAACATTACATTTTTTCAGATAAGTTTATATTTAATAATATAATTCAGTTAATTATTTTTTAGGAATATTTTTATTTTCTGTCAATTTTTGTTTCATGAGACAGGGCATCGTGAGTTTTTTCTTTAATAATGAATGTCTTTCAATAATGCATTGAACACTTGTTGACGGTATAGCAAACTTCTTGGTCAACCGTTGTATGTTGTTTTTCAATGCCATTAACAGTTGCTTAAGTTAGTTTCAGATAAGTTCTCAACATACTGGCATAATGTCAGTCTATAGTCTAAGGTACAGAATTTTATAATTGTTTTGATTGACTATTTTTGGGAATATAGATTTACAGTATTTAATTCATACTTTTTGCCCTACATTAGTGCATAAACTTTATTACAATTTAATTTGCTTTTTGTTTGTGCCGTCTCAGATTGTTATTCTGTTGTAATTTTTATTGTTTGTATAGTTATTGTTGGACGAAATAAATTAAATGAAATGAAATGTCTTATTATTACTATTTTCTATTTTAGTCGAAAGATGAACCACAACTATAAAAAATAGAAGATACAAAACAAAAAGGTTTGTGGTGAGACTGAAAATTTGAAAGTCGGAGATTGATGTTATTTCTAGCGGGAATGAGTCCCAATGGTTACTTTCTACAGGATATTAAAAGACCCTTCGTCAGTTTGAACATGTTTGAGTTGGGTAAGGAGGTATACGATATTTATTAATAACAATAACGATAATAAACTTTCTTGAAATATTATTCATTTTCTGTAGAAAAAAATGTCCTGTGTTTAGTAATTCATTGGCATTTACACTGTTGAGAGACTTTTTGCAACAACACAACAACATGGGAAGAAACTGTCAGTGTTAGGAGCAAATTGATGGTTCCCTCGTTTTGACTTATACAGTCACAGAAATATAAATATATGTAATTGCTTAACTACAAATAAAAGTGATACTAAAAATATATTTTGCTCTTTATAGGTAAAATTATTGTTTAATTACACTTACTCATTTTCTGATAAAAAGCAGTAACAAACTTTTCGCAGTCACCCATTACCAACTTTGGTGCGAATTCCACCGTAACTGAAGGGCAGAGGGGACGGAACCATTCACGACTCTTCAGAGTATTGATACGTTCCCTAACATCAGCTTTATCTGGAAATGCTATTAATGATCGGTGCCCAAGAGCCCTCGGTCCAAACTATTGAAAGGAACAAAGAGAATACATTTAATATAATTCACAGTCAATCAATTTCCTACAACACATGAGTTGAATATTAACAATATAAAAATTTTACAATGCAACAGTTCTAAAAATTAAGATTTTCATAAATCATATATCTATTACATTATGAACCCCATATAATTAAATTTAAACATCCCTCCTGATGTATAAGCCCATTCCAAAATGTTTGTTTAAGGTGTTAAGTTTCTATTGATTTTCACACTGTCACTCTGTACTACACAAATGGTTTAAGCAGCAAATTTTATAATATTTATTTTATATTATATATTTTATAATATTTATGAACCTGTTTTCTTGTTTTAATTATTTATTTGATCTCAGTAACTTACCGTACTTATATACACAATGTAACTAATTCAGATAATACATTTATTTATTTGGATTTGTAAGTGCTTTTCCCAGAGACCAAAAAAGCGCTGTACAAAAATAGATTTAGTATTATACAATTTAAAGTACATTAAACATATACAATTTACACATTCGAAAAATTACAAAAATATACAAAAAATACAATTTAAGAAATATAAAGAAATTAGAAAGTTGTGCAATAGAGATTACAAATGAATATACAAAAATAACCATCACAAAAATTATAAAAAAAAATACTATTATGAATTAGAAAAAAGATGCGTTTTAAGGAGTTTTTTTAAACACTGTACGTTAAAAGCCCCGCGAACACTATTTGTAAAATTGTTCCATAGTCTTGGCTGCAGAACAGAAAACCTCCAAATGATCGTTTTAAATAACTTCTCTTGTTTAATATAAGAAAAAAAAACCCTAAATACAACCGGGACTGATTTTGGTTGTGCATAATCTTACTATTCAAAATAGATGTCTTTGTTATATACACAATTTTAGCTATACATCACTTGAGGATTATTACTTTAAAATTATTGGTGATGGCGTCCTTGCAATTTTAGAGTAGTTTCAACCTCAACCAATGTAATGGCATGACTGCTTTTCTATAACTGGACTAAAGCCGAAACTCTTTTCAAAGTAAACTTATTTACTTTTTTTATATTCTTTTAAATAACTTCTCTTGTTCAATATAAGGGAAACAAACTAAATACAACCTAAAATAGTTTTCAGTGTGCATAATATTATTATTCAAAATAGTTGTCTTTTATATTTTGTTTATATACTATTTTAACTATACGTCACTTGAGGAATATTACTTTAAAACTATTGGTGGCGGCGTACTTCCACGTTTGAATGGTTTGAACCTCAACCAAAGGGTACAATGACTACTTTACTATAACTGGACTGCAGTCGAAACTGTTTTAAAAGTAAAGTTATTTTCTTTGTTTTTAGTTTTTACCTTCTTTCATGCCTTGTCAGCAGCGTCATGGAGCAGTAGAAAGAATACTAAAGCAACATATCGGGCAATTAGATGCTACATCATTTTCATGAAGTAACATCTAAAACATATTAACGCTCTCGTATTAACACAACATTTCAAGTACTGTAGTACACATCAAATATTCATAAATGGATGACAACTCCAAAATTGTTAGGTCTTACCTCTTGTCGTCCTCTAACGAGTCCTATGACAGCACCTTTAGTTAGCAGCTGTGCAACATCTGCAACTGAGACTTGTTTCGCTTCACGCAACTTTACGAAATGATTTAACATGTTTCCATCAAAGAGTGGGAGACCACAGAATTGAATACGTTGTGGGCTTGATGGCCTGAAACAATAAAACAGTAAATATATACCATTTTAAAATTACGTATTTTACGACTGACTTGAAACTACAGGTTGCTGAGCACAAAATCTTAATAATTATTATTTAATAAAAACTGAAAGAATATAGATATTAGAGACTTTCTGCAATATACTTACGGAACAATAATCCAGGCTCCACCAACTGATATCCCACAATCATTCGGTGCTGAGGCTACGTGGACAGGGTAACCAAACTTGCTGACTATTAATTGATTTGCAGGAACATTCTAATAGAGCATAACGAAACCGTATTTTATTGAATAGTCTTGATTCCTAGGCTATAATATTCTCTCGGGTGTACTAAACGGATTACATGTCCAAAATTAGAAGTAAACTCACCAATGCACAACCACCGCTTAAAACGATACCATCAAGTTTTGCACTGCCAACAATAGAGGTGTATCGATTAAGAAACAAATCAATCTTTTCACAAATTAAGAGAGTAAATACATATTGACTCGTGGCAGATACATCCATAGCATTCTGTCCATCAAGTGCATTTTCTTCCAGCGACTAAAACGAAACAGTATTAGATGTAAATGGTATGGTAATAATTTTCTCAGCTAAACTGGTTTATCCACTGTGAGTACACTGAAGTATACAGATCCTCGTTTTTCTTTTTGTGTTTTAACCTGTATAGAGTGCTGGAAAGTTGTGCAACCTACAAAACATGTTGTAATAAGTGCAATTCATTTAAGCAAGAGTTAAATGGCTTCAGCAATTGAACTTTCGAATTAGGTCTCTAAAGGTATTTGAGAATTTATGCTTTTTAAACATTTGCCCAAACAAATCAACTAATGATCAATAATTTGAAAAACAAGAGAGATACAGAGGTTTTACAATATTGGGTGAGAGGGGATTCACTTCTCTAGACCTTTCATTACTACTATGCATTATAGGACTTGGAATTCACGCATAACAAACCTTTTTTCTTGCCAAATGTATTGATCCTGTTTACAAATACTCACCAGTCCTATTTTGTGCCCAAGCTGGAACGACAGGCCTATTTCACTGGTATAGAGCTTATAGTATTCCTTGAATGCTGGGATCCATTCTTTACGGACGTTACCCAGAGCTGAGTATCCCATCATCTAAATGCGAAATAATAATAATCAGGTACTCAGGAAATACAAAATGTTATAAAAACATTCTCTAACATTGTGAACGTTTTGTTTAGGTTATTGCGAGAAAATAATTGCGTACAAAAACCACATTTGTGAATAGAGACTTTTCACACAACCGCAATTAAAGTACAGTCATTAGTCTATCTGTGAAACACTGAAATCAATCTAAAAAATTAACGTCTCGTTTTCGACTCGTTCATTGGCGATGATGACTCGGTGATTGATAAAAATGATATAGGATAGCGACACTAAACTTTGGAAATTTAGTTTGCAAAATGTAGACCTGTACCTATCTTCAGTAAGCTTTATTAGTTGGCCCCAATGAAGTCTGGATTGTCTACGATCAATGCATGAATAAAATCAATGAAGATTTTCAGTTTTTTTAATGAATAGGAATCACATTTTTTTCCCATATGAAATGTTTAGGAAAAAACACATAAAACGTTATTGTAACATTAGCAAACAATGTAAAGACTGTATTTAGGTTATATCAAACAATGACTTTAATATATTGTTTTAGCAATATAAGTAACGTTATTTAGTTCAACCTAAATACGTATTTATGGTTCTACAATAACAAAATTGAGAATACCAATCTATAATATTATTATTATTATTATTTTTAGCTGGATATAGCATTTTTTCCTAGTAAGAAATTTACTTTAATATAGTAATTCGTCAGAAGAGGTGAGAGATTTGCCAAAGGTATGCATGAGGAAGTTTACAGTAGAAGTATGGTATTTTCTGACTGTGAAAGAAATAAGACAGGGCTGGGAACTTTTTGTCGGAGGATTTTGAAAAGTTTTGTTCTGATGTGTGTGGTTTTCGATACGTTCTTTGGATTGTATTCAATGTGTCAGAAGTCGCTCATAAATACAGTATTAATTTCCACCTCAGTTGAGGGAAGGTGTAAAATATCTCTACCATATTGTGCTTAATAAATACAGCTTACTTTTCCTGTCAATGAACTATGAGGACGAACAGCCCCTGTATACATTTGCATCACATTCGGGTTAAACTTCATCTTGTTAAGTTCAGAAAATGCACGGGTAAGATAATGGTACCGATCTCCAAGGTTTAAGAGGACCTGAAATTTAAAAAATGATTGAATGCATAAAAATTATCCAACAACAAAAGTTTATGATTCACAATGTTAAAAATAAAGGTTTATTCCTTATTTTATAAAAATTATGTTAATACGTCTTTAAAAATTGGTTCAGATACTTAGCTAGGTGTGATATTCATTATCATGAGAGGCATATTTGCGTTGTTTGGGAATGTATAGAGAAATGAAGGAGAGACGGTTGAGAAAACATTGGTACGCTACAACATACTTCTTGAAAGAGTAGGAGAAAGTCATACACATCATCGGGAAGAATTACAAGAGCCGTGAGGGTGAAAACTTCGACTGGAGCTCGACTGGAAGAAGACAAATAAGCAGAAATTGAGGCACAGCATTTTCAGCTGCTTCCTAAGGAATGTAAAGGTTGGTAGTATGTAGGCCTACACAGTTTTGACTTCACATTTTAAACCATACTTACTCGTTCTATATGTTTAATTCCATCATTTCTGTTGGCGTGATAAACGTTGAATGTTCCGTCATTACCACCTCCATCATATGAAAAGACTAATGCATTATTAAATGGTGAATCGTAGTATCCGATGGCAGCATGACTGTCATGGTGGTTGGCCGTCACCCACCTGAATACAAAAAACCAATTGTTTGTGATAGAATTATTATTACAACACAGCATTAGTGCACACTGGACTCGATTACTGAATTTACATGACCATTTAATCACTTGTCACTTGGTTTGGACGGCAGAAAATTAGAACATGCAACTCCTTATGATTTGTTGCTTTCAATCGTAAGGATTGCTCAATCCCGCGACTAAAAGTTTCTCACCAGTTGCTGGATAAGTTTCAAAGATCAGTTAATATCAGTTGAGTTGAGTCGCAAAGGAGACACCAGTTTGAATGGTATTTTTATAATAATGTGTAACAAATAGAACTAGAGCAGTCACTCCATATATGCATACCTTTGTACTCTACCTGGATACCCTACCTGGATACAGAGCAATACGCAGGCCGCATGGGCTACTCCATATTTTATTTTCTTATCAAGGATAAATTCAAATGAAAAATAAAATTGTTCTTGTCCTTTGAAGTATTCTTCCCAAAGTGTAATCATCTCCTTCTTTGAGTATTATGTACCATTCCACTAAATTGTATGATGATCCATTCATTTGGTTTTTTGGGGGTTTTTTTTCCGTAAATCTTGCTAACAGACAGACAGACAGAGAGACAGAAGGAATGCATAACCTCATTGGCGGAGGTAAGAACTTATGTTTACATATTTGGTTATACGGATTATATATTGAGATGACCTCAATCTTACTGTATGTACTCACCGATCAGCTTTGACCAGGGTCTTAAAAAGTTCAAGAGGAGTTGGCAACACCCTTTAAGATAAAGTGAGCCAAAGTTCATACTAATTACAAGTAGTAGGCCTATATTAAAACATTACTTCAATGTTCTTCATGTCAAAAAAATGTTTATTTTAAATATGTAATCGTGTTATTTTATATATTATTGATTTTGTTATTTGAAAGCTCATCTTTTTTTTTTTTTTTTTTTTTTAATTAAATATAATAGTTTATTCAATACGGCAGCCAGAGTTCTAATCCATGTGAATAGTATTGAATTTAGTTTTCAGTTCAAATTAAATAAGAGGGCACCTTTAGGTCAGCATTGCTGTTAAGAGCTACCCTCCTATTTATTTTTGAATCATGTTGAATAAATATAATAATTACCAACTTGTAACAGCAATATCATATTCGTAAATTTCGGTAAACGCCTGAACCTTTTCTATTGCTTCTCTCCATTGAGTTAGGAACTCATTCCGCTTCCTGTTTAAAACAATTTAAAGCAGAAGATAAATTAGGAAACAGCTACTAAACCATGTGATTATGTTGTTACATATACAGAAACCGAGGAAGGCTACCATGTTTGTCACTATTAACACCGACGTACATCTGGCAGACAGGCATAACAGAAACACATAGTCAAATTCACATTATCAAAATTATCAAAATTATTACTGAAACGTTGTCACCATCCTCCCTTGAACTATCAGATTTCAACCTTATTTTCCACAAATGATCAATCAGCTATTTCTTTTAGTGTTGGAAAAAGTATCTGAAGAATTTGGCTTGGAATATTGTAATATGACAACTGTATTAGGAGACGCTGGAGAGGAACCCGCTCAGAGGCCGTTTTGAAGTCCAGCAGCACTGCCTCAATCTGTTTTGGGCTTGTGGCATGAAATAATAATTAATGTGCCTAATTCACCACCAGAAGGATCCCACTGGAAAGTATTTTTTTTTTTTTAATTATTATTATTATTATTATTATTATTATTATTATTATTATTATTATTATTATTATTATTATTATTATTATTATTTTATAACAATCGTCCAACAGGAACTTTTCGTTCCAACTTACAGGCGAAAATTGCAATATTACATCAACAATATAAAATCACAAGATATAAAACGATTATTATTATTATTATTATTATTATTATTATTATTATTGCAATGATTATAATTAATTTCGGTGTATCACACCGAAGAAATTCAATCCAGTGCTGGTGAAAATTCATGATCGACTCTTTAACCAGCTTAGTTGGGATGTTGTCGGGGCCATTTTGCAAGATGCTTGAACATTGACCTCGATATTTAGTTTTTCAGGAAAAGGACTGGTCCCCATAATTATTGTAAGAAGATATAGCCTTCGTCCGTAAGCACTGATGCAAAGTGTTGGCTTTGAATGTGAGCCTTTGTTTTGCCTTTTCCAAATGGTATACCATCACGCTTCAGTGGGGCAACGCCAATGTTATTACATATTTTTGGTTTTTAATGAAATTCCTAAACGTCTGTGGAGTTAGGCTAAAGTTCGCACCAAAAATGTTGTTAATAAACATAGGAATATATTTTCACGCAAATATTTTGTTATGACTTGACATGTGTTTTGATGAGCTGGAATATTTTGAGTTTTTTTGGTTTCGTTTGGATGATATTGCAGTGACCTTCAAATGAGAAATTCGAATAACATGTGGTAGTTTTATAACTCTATTAAATCATTAATTAAATCCGTCTCTTAATACAACTAACAATTACTGACTTTAGAAGTAAGTACACTTACGCTGGACTGCAATAATATCTTATTTGAAACAACCCTTTAACAAAAAAGAAAAAGAAAATTACATTAAGCCTGTTTAGTCATATTATTTATTTAAACGTTTATCACATAACGTTGTAATATACAATTACTGTAAAATATAAAATAAATAATACCTGCCTTTTAATTTAGTATGTAGTTTTTGTAATATGTAGTAGTTAATTTAACAAGGCATGGCAGAACGTGAGCGAGCGAAACAATCAATAATACAAACGTGGCGTTGGGGGAGAGCAGCATGCCGTCGGGAAGGAAAACACAATTCGTCGTGGAGAGAAACGTGTATATGTAATTTTAACCTTCCCGACAGCTGTCGGCGACTGTCGCCGATTGGGTGAGCGATTCTATGGAAATCGCGAGCTTAAAGGGACAAGGGGATGATGATCATGATGATGAGTTGTCAAATCAACAGAGACCGCGACATGCTCAAATACTGCAGAACAAGCCAGGAAAGTTACTTGAGTTATTTCAGTTAATTATAAATTTTTTTCTGACTTTTCATTTCTTTCATATGCATATTTTCCGACGTTAAATGCAGGAAAAGACAAAATGTCTTCTTTTTAACCTTGTTGTTAATGTATATGATACTTTTGCTTGAATTTGCATAATTGATATATGCAGAATCTATAATGGTTAATGGTTAATGGTTATTAATTTATAGAGCGCAAAATACAAAAAGTCTCTAAGCGCTATCAGGCAAGTGTAAAGATGGAACGGAAACCAAAACCACAAAATAAAAAGAAGTGAAATCTTAATACCATGCCAGCACCCAAACCGAAGTATGGGGATACGCCCTCATCATTGAACTACAGTCAGCACCTGTTGAGTCTCGGCCATCTCGGATTCGGGCGCCTCCTATCCTAGTTAAGGCTATAAAAGCTAGCTGGCATGGAAATAGGAAAAAAAATTAATTAAAGGGACGAGAATACGTACTATAATGGAATGATATACTGCATTAATTATTAATGATATATTAAAACTTATTTCTAGACGGGATATACTTAAAAGCATTTTTCACAATTGAATAATTTCGTTGAATAATTTATCATTTTTTGTGACCTTTTATTCTTTTTCTAGATGGGATATGCTTAAAAGCATTTTTGACAATTGAATAATTTCTATGCATGATATTGCGTTTCTGTTTTGCATATTTATCGAAATAGAATTTATTAAAATGCCATCACATCAATGGAATGTGTTTTTCTTGAATAAATTCATTTATAAATAGTAGTGTATTCACCAATTACTTTTCCATAGAAAGATATTCTGCATTATTAATAACATTTATATATTTGAATATGGATGTGATTAAAACATTTACTGACAATTGATCATTTCCCATAAAGCGAGTGTTTCGTTGAATTATTTATCATTTTTTGTGACCTTTTATTCTTTTTCTAGATGGGATATGCTTAAAAGCATTTTTTACTATTGAATAATTTCTATGCATGATATTAATGGTTAATGGTTATTAATTTATAGAGCGCATTTCCCATAAAACGAGTGTTTCGTTGAATTATTTATCATTTTTGTGACCTTTTATTCTTTTTCATATGCATATTTTCTGAAGTTAATATGGAAAAATAAATGTCGTATAGGCCTATTAATTTTTGTTTGAGAAAGGATATCATATATTACCCTATAGAAAAATATTGCATTGTTAATTACAAGAATAAATTTCATTCTAGATTCAATAAACTAAATATGTGGAAAATTTACAAATATCTATTATATAAGGTTTTCAAATTTCTTTTTTTCAACCTCCTTGTTAATCGTATATTATAATTTTGTTTGATTGTTTATAATTGATATATTTCCTACGAAGTTATTGAAGAACAGAAAAGTTTAAGGAGGAATGGTGATTACTGAGACTTTCTAGTTTGTAATTTTGCTCATGCATTTTTTTTTTCTAAAAACAAAATCTTACTGTTATGTTCCAGCCTAAAAAAAGAGCAAATGAAAGTTTTCTAAGTATTTATAATAAGCTATGCTTTGCTTCTGTATGACTTATTCTGGTGTTGAACTTTAGGGTTCTTTTATTTTTCTTTATCACCACTGCGTCGGTTTGTAAATGTGCTGTTTGTATTGTTAAAAAAATAGATATTTGAATATGCTTTGAACTGTTGTTTTTGTATTACATTAAATATACCTTGCAGTAAATTCAAAGCATCTTTACCAGGCTGAGATAGGCCTAATTACAATTGTCTCAGCTACTACACACTCGTATACACAGCAATCATAATATAAGTATGTCGATCAGTAGCATAACAAAAAGCCTTGAGGACCCTGGCTAAAGTTTCTTCGACCCATACTATTCTGCAAAGCCCAAACCGCTTCGGCGTTTCGTGTGTTTTTAAGGGGCAGTGGCTGCGGCAGGTGCCGATAGAGAACGTCAGCTTTCCTTCGCACTGCGGCAGTGCCGATAGCCTCAGCCGTTTTAAGGGCGTATTGTGATGGGTGTTTGTGTTCTGCTTCTTAAAAGGTATTGTTCAGCCGATGTAGGAAGGCTACAAATTATGAACATCCCAGGGCTTCTTAAAGTCTGAGGCAACTTCTTTTAGTCAGTGAGGGCTTATAGCTGATAAACCCTTTCCAGGCTATCAAATTGTATTCGACAAAATCATGTGAAATAATGTCAAAATACGGTCATGAAGGAATTACAAATAGGCACATCATGACTCTTATGGCCATAAAAAAGTTTCCTGAGTCAAAGAAAATTTGATAGTGTAGACAACTTTAATTGTCGTTAATGTAAACATCTTACTCTCAAGTTCAAGCACCGCGATAAGTTTTCCTCCAACGCAAACACAAACATTGGCATCATGGTGCATATGAAAGGATATGACTTTGGCCATGATATCCAGAACCAATCCTGAAACCTATAGATAAAATGTGGGAAACGGAAAATTTAACAATTATAAACGTAGTAATTGTACCTAGGCCTATATATATATACT